AGGGGTGAGGGGATGGGTTAGCCTGGTGATGGGTATTAAGGAGGGCATGCACTGTGTGGAGCACTGGGTGTTATATGAAAACAATGAATCATGGAACACTGCATCAAAAACTAATGATGTATTTTATGGTGACTAATATAACATAACATAATAAAATAAAATAAAATTAAAAGAATAAACTAACATTGCATTCCTGATCGAGTAGGACTAACTGATTTGCTCTAAGTTTTTTCAGGATTTTGCTATTATGGTCATGAGGAATACTGATCTGTAATTTTCTTTTCTTACGAGATCCTTACCATATTTGGTTTTCAATGTAACACTAGTCTAATAAAACAAGTTGAGAAATGTTCCCTTCTCCAGTTTTCTGAAGACATATGTGTATGATATTATTTCTTCATCTTTTTAATTTTATTGTTTTTGCAGAAATATTATTTCTTCTTTAAATGTTGAAAACAATTCATCAGTGAAACCATCTCAGCCTAGAGTTTTTTGGTTGAAGATTTTTTTCCCTTTTAAATTACAAATTAAATTAAATAGATGAGGGCTATTCAGATTTTCTATTTGTCCTTGAGTCACTTTCGGTAAGCTGTATTTTTTGGAGAATTTGTCCAGTTTATGTTGTTGAATTTATGTTATAAAGATGCCTGTAATAATCCCTTATTCTCCTTTTAACGTCTATAGGAACTATAGTGCCATCTCCCTTTTATATCTGATGTTGAGTTTTTTTCTCATTTCCTTGATCAGTCTTGCGAAGGGTTTATTCATTTTAAATATTAATTTTTTTTCTATTTATTGATGTCTGTTCTTGATTTTACTCTTCTTTCTGCTTACTTTGGGTTTATTTTCCTCATTTTTTTTTCTAGTTTATTAAGTCAGAAACTTAGACATTGATTTTACACTATTCATTTTGAGATACTTTATCATTTCTTCTGTGATTTCTTCTTTGTCTCATTGGTTATTTAGAAGTATGTTGTTAAATTTCTAAATATTTGGGGATTTTATTTGTATCGATTTCTCATTTAGTTCCATTATCTCAGATGACATTTTCTATATGATTTTAATATTTTGAAACCTTCAGACTTGGTTTTATGGCCCAGAGTATGGTCCTTGTGTACTTGAGAAGAATATATATTCTGCAGTTATTGGGTAGTAGTCTATAAATTGTGAGTGGATCAAGTTGGCTGACAGTGTTGTTGAAATCTACACACTTGGTTTTTATCTGCTTGTTCTAATACTTATTGAGAGGTGTTAAAATCTCCAGCTATGATTATCTGCCTATTTATCTCTTTAGTTCTATAAGTTTTTGACTCATGTATTTTTTTCACTTAAAAAACTTTATTTTGAAATTTTTCATTCTTTTTAAAAAATATGTAGTAGTAAAGTACGGTTGATATACAATGTTGTATTTGTTTCAGGTGTACAACATAGTGATTTGACAATGATTCATGTAATTTGAGCCTGTTACTAGGTATATACACATTTAGGATTATTTTATCTTCCCAGAAATTTGTCTCCTTTTACGTTTATCAAATGGCCCTCTGGTAACATTTCTCATCTTGAAGTCTGCTCTGCCTCACATTAATATACCCACTCCAGCTTTCTTATGCTGCATGGTGACATGGTACATATTTTTCTTTTTTTTTTTTATGGTATATATTTTTCTATCCTTTCACTTTCAATCTGTGTCTTTGTATTCAGATAACCCTCTCGTAGATAGCATACTCTTGGGTCTCATTTTTTATTTGATGTGGTAGTTTCTGCTTTTAAAAGAAATGCTCAGTCCATTTAAAATAATGTAATTATTGATATGACTGACTTTAAGTATAGCATTTTGCTTTTTAAAAAAATTTAATTTGATTTTGTGTTTTTGGTTCAGTTCTACAGCATAATGATTCGATATTTGTATACACTGTGAAATGAAAACCACATGTCTAGTTAACATCTATCACCTTACAAAATTATAAACTTTCTTTTCTTGTGATGAGAACTTTTAAGACTTACTCTCTTACCAAGTTTCAAATATGCAATACAGTATTATTAACTATAGTCACCATGCTGTATATTTCCATGACTTACGAATTTTATAACTGGAAGTTTTTATCTTTTCACCCCTTTCTTCCATTTCTCCCATACCCCACCTCCCACCTCTTGCAACCATCAACGTGTTCTCTGTATCTATGAGACTGGTTTTTTGTTTTGTTTTGTTTTTAGATTTTTTATATCCCACATATAAGTGAGATCATACAGTATTTTTCTTTCTCTGCTTAACTTACTGTTTCTTTTTTTAGCAGCTGAACACAACACCCATTTTATTTTCTTATATTGCTTTTTTTTAACTTTAATTAAAATTTTTTTTAAATTTGAGTATAGCTGACACATAATGTTACATTGGTTTCAGGCTTATGACACAGTTCAACCTCTCTATACATTACATATGCTCACCACCAGTGTGGCTACCGTCTGTCACCGTGTAACACTTTCATATCACTGACTACAGTCTCTAAGCTGTGCCTTTTATTCCCACTTGTTTCATTTAAAAAAAAAATACTGTTTTTCTTTCCTGCCTTCTTACTGGTTGATAAAATAATTTTTTAGTATTTCATTTATTTTTTAAATTGTGTTTTCAGCTATTGCTCATCATGGGAATTTTGTTTTAAAGTAAGAACGTGGGAATCAGGTGGAATAATTAAATTCACTTAGAATAATATTTACCAGTAAGGATATCTAAAGCTGCTTATGGAGACCTACATGAGCAGCAGGTGTATCTAGAAGCAAAACTGAAACACATGAGTCATGGCTGACAATCTAGAGCTGAATCTGCAAGCATTTGGATATTCGCCTTGAATGAGTCGTAAGATGTAAATCCTTGTATCACTGTCCTTCCTTCAAGGCACCCAGTATGTGAGCAGTTTCCATGTTTGCTTACTTGTTCAAACTTTATTTCCTGAAATGCCTCCTGTGTTCAAGGTGGTGTAACCAATATGAAGGATAGAAGATGAATGAGAAAATGTTCCTAACTTCAGTAGCATACAATTTAGTCAAAAGGATAGGACAGGTACAGAAATAACTAATTCTTATAAAGCACAAAGTATAGTATCTGTAGTATCTGACATAAAGTTCAATAAATGTTAGTAATAAAATTTTAAATCTTATTATGCATTTAATAATGTGTTAAATACTCTAAATTAAAAATTGTAAAAAAAAAAAAACAACCTAATATCAATTTGGAAGAATACTGTATCTTACTAGAGGGTGGCAGGGGGATCAGCAGGCTTTTATGAATGAGGTGGCATTTAAGCTGGTTATTGAAAGATGGGTAGAATTCTGATAGAGATGTAAGCAGAAGGCATAACAAGAAATGGAACAGTGAGCAAATGTATGGAGGCAGGAACACGTAAGTGAGTGTTTAAGAACTAGTGAGTATTTTACATGTAAACACAGGGTTCATACAGGTAAAAGTATATAGGGAGGCTGGAAAGTGGGTTGGACCCATGCCATCAAGTACCTTATATGCTAGACTAAGAAGCTGGAAGTTAATTCAGTAGCAAGAGGGAGTCAGGTTTCTGAACAGGGAAATTAAGTGATGAAAGTGATACTTGATGAAACTTTATTTGAAAGCAGTACATAAAGTCTACAAGACTGCACAGGTTGGGACAGAGTTTCCCTACTAGGTATGTCAAGAATGGGTTAGAGGTGTGCTTAAAAATGAAGCTCTTTAGCCCTCAGGGCTCTGGGGGCTTGGCACGGCTGTAACCTCAAGGCCAGTTATATCTAGCTATAAGGAGTTGCGATTTTTTAGCTCAGTATGCTATACAAGTTTTTATAATTTTCTAAGTGTGCTATGATATAAAAGAAGCATTAAACCAAAAACCCAGAGAAGACTAGGAAGGGTAGTAATATAGACATGATGCCATGAGCAACTGAATGGTCTTTGGGGTAACAATGGCAGGAATGAATTTGAGACTGATGGATGTGAGAAAACATCACGAAGGCAGAATTAGCAGGATGTAGACTGATCGTACAGAAAATATGCTTTAAAATATCTGTGGAGAAATTCCAAGGTTTAAAAAAGTCCAGGGTACGGAGAAGCTAATCGGTAGTAGAGGTACACAGAGGTCATCAGAATTGAGAAGAGAAACTCTGATATCCAAGTAACTAGTATGGAGGTTGAAATAACTGAAGACGGTGGCCGAGAGAAAGGAAATTATGGTCACTTTTTCTTACTGAGTTCTTCGAAAACCTTCAAGAAAGATGTAAAAGTCTCTCAGGAATAAACACAATTGCTCAGGAACCTCTTGCTCACTCAAGTCCTTTTCTCTGGCTTCCAGCACTGACAAACACTGTTAAGGGGATGGGGTAGACATGGGTGAAGGAGGAGATGCTCGCGCGTAGGCCACAGCTGACACTAGAATTGCAGAGGAAAGAGGGAGGAAGGGTGTGAGCACGAGAGGGAGATGGATTCCATTTTATTTTTTCCCCCATTTCCTAAAAATATCTTAAATACCTTTTAAATAGTTTTTAGTGGAAAGCTGAGGTTTAAGACATACAGAGTTGTGCAGCCATGGATACCATTTTATTTTACCTGACTGTGGAGTAAAACAAAACAAAACAAAACAAAACAAAACCCAAACATAATGATGAGGAGGTTTCTAACCATACAAACTCCACAACATGGAGTTGGAGCCATGGTTTTACTGATTTTTTGAATTCTACAGAAAAGACTAGAAGCTCTACTACCTTTAGTACAGGAAAAATGTATTCTATTTGGAAGCGAGAACGAGAATTTTTAGAGAGAAAGAAGGAAAGAAGTAGCAGTTCCTGTAGGAATTTTCATTTTTCTCAAGTAAAATCTTTTCTCTGTTAACCGTATCCTGCGGGACATCAGCTATGGCACGTTTAGTTTTGGCAATGTGATAAAAATCATTTCTATGGCACACTCTAGGTGAACTTGGACTCCAAAGCTTCCACCTTTTGCCTTCTGTGCACCCCATCTGTACCTTTGTGGAGATTCTCCAGGGGCTCCAGGACTCCCCTCCGGAAGGAGGCCATGGGGTCTTGAACACAGGACCGAAGGCTCAGCATGCTCTGTAAGTGAGGCTCCCGAAGAAGCTGCTCACGATAGGCCGTCAGCTGAGGTGAGCGGCAGAGCAGGGCAGCAACATTGTGGACAAATTCTGGGACCAGGCAGGTGTAGGCATTATCAGCTTGGCAATAGTGATAGGCAACCACCTACAACAGAAAGATGAGAATGCAAACAGGTTTACCAGGAGCAAAAGCAATAGCCATGGTTACTATATGATCATTCTCTAACATTGTCTTCCGTCTCCCCATTCCTCAACTTCTTCAAGTAAAAACAAAAGCTGCTATCTCAGAAATTGCCTGCTTTATCTAAGATCAGAAATTTGATACAATATTTCTATTGTATACACATATCAAAATTCACAATTAAAATTTATAAATGCAAATTGAGTTTTGGATTATAAGATTCCTTTGTAGAATTTGGGTTTTAGATTATAAGAAATAGGAAACAAGTCTGAGAATAAAGATTTACATTTATCTCTCTAATATTTATTCAGCATGGAATAGTACAGGAAAAAGTCCAATCTTGTAATAAAGCATTAGGAATAAAATGATCCCAGAAAGACCTTGTTAATCTCAATAAACACATATACTTATTAACTCCTTACTTTTAAAAATTAATGTTGTTGTAAATAGCTTTATAAAAAATAATTCAGATTTAAGAATTATCATTAGTATTTTCTAGCACCCAGACACAATCAGAATTAGATGACAGGAAAAAGGAAATGACTGAGATTTTTGTTAGCTGCAGGTCTTAAATTCAAAGAACTTGGAAAATGTGTGAGTCTTAATATCATCCATCCATCTGGGCTGTCTGGGGGGAACCTGGTTTTAACCTCTGGGTTTTTTGTTTGTTTGTTTGAATGTGCACAGAGCTCACTCCATACCTTCTGGTTGTTCTCTTTGCCTCAAGGGTAAGTGCAGAGGGTGATTTTAATCTACAGCACTCTGCTGGCTCAGTACTACTCACGAAAGTGAAGTGACTGAGGAGATAACATGAAATTGGCAGGGGAGATTCAGCTTGAATGTATGGAAAGTACTTGGCATGGTGCTCAGCACAAAAAGGTGCACAGTGATGTCAGCTGATGCTGCCATCATCATCATCATCATCACCTCCCCCTTCTCCTCTTCTTCTCCATCATTATCATCATCGAAGTTCTGTATTCTCTATTTTGACTACTGACTTTGTGCCTTTAGGCAGGGGAAAATTACCCTAGGAGCATTCATAGATGTACTACTGGGACTCCAGCTCTTCTATCATCTCTCAGAGAACAGTCATCCACTAAAGTGTTCTATTTTGAAAAGACTCCCAATCTACAAGTATGGTCATTCTTGCTCTTTTACAAATACTAGAAATGTCACTTTTTTTTAAAAAACTTTTTTAAACCTGAAATCCTTCTCATTAAGCACACAGAGAAAAATTTAATACTGGAAATGTTACTATCCACAGAAAGCTGAGGACAGGAATTGCTTGTGAGTGAAGCAATGATATGTGAGCACAATATGGAATTGGAAATGAGAAGTTATATTTAAAAAATCTCCACTCTTTTCTTTAGATAGATTGGTCATTGCTTTATTACCTATCTTGAGCACAATGTAAGGAACCAAAGAGAAAACCTGGCAGCAACTGATCTGTCCTCCCAATGAACAGTGAATGTCAGTGGTTATATCCACATGGATACAAATATCCACTTCATAAAAAGCAAACAGCAAACCTCTGAATCACTATGAACTTTCATCACATTTTACCTTGACTGCTTCCACATGTCAAAGTGAAGCACAGCTGAGCAAATCAGCTGTAACTTACCCTTTGCATAAAGTAATGGGATAGAAGTTTGAAAATAAAAATTCAGGAATTTAGGAAGAGGTTTTTCTTACTGATTTTATTAAAAATTATCTGTGCTAGGGGAGGGGGGTAGGGAGAAAACTCATCTGTGCTCTTGGCTGAATGAGGTTTTATCTAACAAAGGACATTGCTAAAGTTACCCCTTCTGTGGCTACCTTTCTTTCTTTCAGTTTAAAATATTTCTTCAGCATTCCAAATACAAAGTCTTGATTGCTTTGCAGAATTCAGGTAGAAAGACCATTCAACATTTCCACGAAATTTGCACTGTGGCTAAAAATAGGTTATTTACTAGACATTTCAAAGCAGTTTTGTAGCATATGTACATAGAACATGCACACATAGTAACTGACAAACACAGGTGCATTTGTCAAACCTATTTGGTACTTCCTCTAAATTGTCTATTGACATCATCTACAACTTTTCCTACATATACAAATAGGAAACAAGTCTGCTAATGTAGTTTTTTTTCCTTCAGTCTCTCATTGTACCAGTGTTCAGTGGTATTAGATTTTTCCCTGCAACCTTGAGAAAGTTATCATGGCCACCTATATTCAGTCACTGTCATTCCAACTTCTTGGAAATGATTCAGAATTTAGACTACCCCCAAAATCAGCAGGTAAAACCTTTCTCCTTGAATTCTTGTCTACCCCTAAAATCAGCAGGTAAAACCTTTCTCCTTGAATTCTTGTCTACCCCTAAAATCAGCAGGTAGAACCTTTCTCCTTGAATTCTTGTCTCTCATGATGATTTGTTGAAATTTCATTTTCAACTATGCATAATTTCTCTCCATTTCAAGTTTGTCTTACGTTAAATCCTTAGACTTTTTATTAAAATAATTTTAGCCAAAATATGTCTGATATGACCAGAATTATATTAATTCTTTGGGAAAGACAGCAAGTAAATTTTATTTATTATTTTTTAGAGAGGGAGAGGAGGGGAAGGACAGAGGGAGAGGGAGAATCTTAAACAGGTTCCACACTCAGCATAGAGCCTGATGTGGGGCTTGATCTCATGACCATGAGATCAGGACCTGAGCCGAAATCAAGAGTAGGACACTTAACTGACTGAGCCACCCAGACGCCCTGATAGAAAGTAAATTTTAAATTACTCCTATGAGGGAAGGAAAAAAAGCAGGTGTGCAGGCTATATGGACAAAAGAAAAGACTGGAGGTCAGTATAGCTTTGGGTATAAGAAACTTTGATTTGGGGCCCTTGGCTGGCTCAGTCTGTGGAATATGCCACTCGAGCTTGGGGTTGTGGGTTTAAGCCCTGCCTTGGGTGTAGAGATTACTTAAAAAAAAAAAATCTTAAAAAAAATAAAATAAAAATAAAAAACTTTGATTTAGTGCTGTATAGAAGAAATCATAAGATGAAGTATAATCCTCATCAAAGGGCCAAATGATTGAGTGGCAGCAAATCTGTCAGGCTTGTGTTAAAAATCCCAGGCCTTCACTCTGAAAAACAAACAGGGTTCTGGAGGGGAGGGGGGTGGGGGGATGGGTTAGCCTGGTGATGGGTATTAAAGAGGGCACGTTCTGCGTGGAGCACTGGGTGTTATGCACAAACAATGAATCATGGAACACTACATCAAAAACTAATGATGTAATGTATAGTGACTGACATAACAATAAAAAAATTTAAAGGGAAAAAAATTTTTTTAAAAATTAAAAAAAAAAAAAATCCCAGGCCTTCACTCTCCAAAGACTGTTTTCTACTTCAAATGAATAATCTGTGACAGGATTAAGCTAATCTCACATAAAGAAGAGGACAGCTCTATGTGGAATACATCTGGAAATAAAAACTTGATTTACATAATGACTGGCATTTGTACCATTTAAATTCTAATGTTGCAAACATCCTCCCTTCAGGTCTGCTCTCATATTCTTATTCCATGTCTCCTTTTCATCACTCCTTGAATTCCCTCATCCCCACCTGACTAACTTCTTGCTCAGCACATTCCTTCCAACACTTTAGTGTGGCTTCTAATATTTCCAGGGACCTGGAGGTTTAGTATGAATAACAACCTCTTCTTGCCTCTCCCTGTCCCTCAACTCTGACTCTAATCCTTACCCTGGGCCTGGAAGCTAAGAATAGCTTCCAGACTTGGGTTCTGCCTCAGTAATTTTCCAGCTTGTAGATCTTTTTTTTTTTGTTTTGTTTTTTGGCAGTAGGACTTTTATTTATTCTTTAACTTTTTATTTTGAACTAATTTTAGACTTACAGAAATGTTGCAAAAGTAGTACACAGAGTTTCTGTTTCTGTATATCCCTCACCCAGCTTCTCTTTTTATTAATATCTTACATAACCATAGCATAATTATCAAAACTAGGAAATAACACTGGCACAATATATTATTAACTAAAGGCATTATTCAAATTTCACCAGTTTTCCACTAATGTCCTTTTTCTGTTCCACGATTCTATCCAGGTCCCTGTATTGCATTTAGTTGTTATTTCTCCTCAGACTCCTGTAGTCTGTAGGAGCTCCTCAGTCTTTGTTTTTCATGACCTTGACACTTCTGAAGAGTACTGAGCAGTTATTCTGGTGAATGTCAGTTTGAGTTTGTCTGATGTTTTCCTCATAATCCAACTGAGATTTCTGGGCAAGAATACCACAAAAAGAATGTTGTGTCCTTCTCAGTGGATCATATCATGGGGCCCACGATGTTGATGTGTCTTGTTACTGACGATGCTGACCTTGATCACTTCGGTTAAAGTAAAGGTTTCTGCCAGATTTCTCTACTATAAAGTTACTCTCTTTCCCTTGGTAGTTAATAAACATCTTGGAGGAGACAATGAGACAATGCAAAACCTGTTTCTCCTCAAACTTTTGCCCACTGACTTTAGTATACATCAGTGGATCTTGTCTGCAACAATTAATCACATAGTGTTTGCCTGAGAGTGATGTTCTATTTCCTCCCTCTTTCCTTCTACATTTACTATTAGAATTCTACTGGAAGAAAGAGCTGTCTCTTTCCCCCCATTTATTTACTTGAGTGATTTAATAAATATGTACTTATTCTATTCCATTGGTTATATCCAATACTATATTTTGTTGTTCACTTTGTTCCAGCTTCGGTCATTGGGACTTCCTTCAGGTTGGTATCTGTGTTCTTTCAAGAAGCCCCCCATCTTTTTAAAAGCACTTTCTTGCTTTCTGGTACCACAAGACACCCCAGGCTCCTCTTATATTTACCCTGCCCAGATCTGGCATTATCTAACTTCTTCAGAGCCCTGGTTTCTTTTATTGGAGAATGGTGTTTATAAAACAAGATCTGAATAGTAGGCATGCTTATTGCTATTGA